CCACAGCAGGCAGGGCACACAGCCCTCTGCCCTGCCCAGCTCCACACGGGGCTGGCACAGGCACACACAGCGACTGGGGTGCGACGCTGCCGCTCCAGGAGCCACCTTCCCCCTCCAGGAGCAGCCACGGAGCCACGGCTGCTGCCTGACCCAGCTGAACTGAAATCACTGTTCTTCTCCTTTCGAAACAGAAAATCACAAAAGCGGTGGATTCCAACATCAAAATTTAAATTTCAAATATGACATACGAACACAAAAATTGAGAAAGGAGTGCAAAATGAAACTGTGTGGAATATGTAAATGTAGGGCTTCTGTTTTTTCAAACTGGAAGTCAAAATGATGTATTTTTATTTTCTAAAAAGAAAAAATGCATCTTGATTGCTAGACAAAATAAAATATGAACTCGCAAACCAACGGAAACATGTTTCACCCAGCTGTCTTTATTTTTTTTCCTCTGTCTCTGTTTCTCAGCGAAGATTTTTTTATGTCGTTTCATTTTTTTCATATCTTTAGGGAGAGGTTTAATGCCTCATGGTGTCAGTCTTTATAAAAATCCTACAGAGGTACAAGTCACTGCATTATTTGCGGCAGTACATCTACAGTAAGAACAAGTGATAATAGTAACTTGTTCATAAAATATATGTTCAAAATAAAAATTGGCTTCCAGTTAAAACACAGTCTGAAATGTATATATTCCACATTTAAGAGGAACCTTCTACTGACTGCAAAGTAAAATTACAATGTACCTTGTAAAAATTTCCATTTTTAAAAAATAAGCTGTTTTTTTAAAATGAAACAGCTGTGAGGAGTTTGGGGAGTTACTGGAAGGGCTTCCTACAAAAACAAAACAAAAAACTTCCCGACACTGACTTACTACTCAAATACCGTGATTCAATAAAACATAAATGGAAAAGTTTTCACCTCTGAGAAGAATTAGATTTAAAAATAAAATTTAAAGATTTTAAAATTAAATGACTTACTGAGACTATAGATTGAAACATTGTTTTACTATTGATTTTCCTCCTAATGAAGATTTCTCATGTACTTGCAAACTCTCATTCTCTCTGACAATGATCCCCTGGAGCAATCAACACCTCTGTTTCTCAAAAAGTGCACCGAGACCATGTCAGTCTGGCTGTGGCACAAGGAGCTCCAGGAACCTGCTCCTCCTCTTGAGCAGCCCTTTCCCCAGGGGACAGGGGAACTCAGTCCAGCTTCCTCCGACCTGCCCATCGGCCAAAAGCAGGCTCTGACTACACAGCAAAACAACGCCCGCAACCACAGCCCTGCCCACCAGGAATCTGGGAAAGACTGGATGTGACCTGACCTGCAGAGTAAGGAAAGAAAAAGTGGAGAAAACCCAAAAATCAGACACAGAAGTTTGGAAGTCTTGTGCAAACAGCATGAAAGAACTGGAGCCCTCACTTCATGCAGATAGCCACAAACCCTGCCCAGCTCCACAGTCCGAGCTGCAGCAGCTGAACCTTCTCTTTTTCTGCTCAGGTTTATCACATTCACTTCTCCCATCTGACCTCAGCCTACACTGCACACGGGAGAGGAACTGCCTGCCCCGGCCAGCTCACATCGCTGTTGGTGCTCGGGACATCCACAGGCAGCTGGGCCTGGAAGGGGGATTCCAGGACCCCGATCCCTGAGAGCACTCCTGAGCCAGCTGGAGACGCTGAAGGAAATGCAGGCACCAGAACTGACTCAGGCCCCGCAGCACTCACCCCAAGATTGTCAGAACCATTAATAATCAGGCTAAAAAGCTGCCAAATTGAGCAGAGGATTACCAGGAAACATTTCAGAAAACTGTCTGCAGCAGTCCTGTATTTCCACTTTTGGCTGGAAGCACTGGTTTCCCACACAGTCCCGAGCAGCTGCGGACGTGGGGAGAGGGGATGCAGTGGTAGGAGGGGGAAAGGACATGGAAGCAACACAGTCTGTGACTACCAGTGGGTGCAAAAGTCAGTTCTGTGCATAAGCATCTGCAGGATTTGATTGTCACAGGCACACTTAGTAAAAAGGTAAGGAAAACCAAAGCCAAACAGCGTTTCCAATATTCCTTAAGCACACTGGCCTGCTGAAGTGCCCACGTGGTGATATCAGTGTGGTTCCACGTGCTCAGCCCGACGCTGCACACCACGTGTGTGTCTGGAGCACCCAGGAGAAGGACACTGTGCACAGGGTGACTGAGAGACCTGCTCACCTGAGC